GGTAGAACTTAATATAGGTGAGATTTGTCTCTAAAACTTTTAATCTGTGTTTTTTTTTTCCATTCCCATCAATACCCACAATAAGTAAATGCACTATTGTTCTTCCTTGAAGAAAAATTAATGGTAAACTGAATTACACCAATGGGGAAATACTTAATGGATTCCTAAGTGTCACCTCTACCCAGAGAAATTTTTATTTTAAAATATCATATTAACTCAAAAGAGTGAATTTCTAATGGTAACATTTCAAAATTTATGGCAGGATGTAGGGTTTGCTCTCTAGGCAGTTCAGTAAGCTGGACCTGGCAAGAATATCCTGGGCTTATAGTCTAATTTCCAACTTTTTTTTTTTTTTTTTTGAGAAAACTTCTTCAGTATCTTTTTTTCAACTTTTTAAAATGGAAATATAGTTAATTTACAATGTTGTGTTCGTTTCAGGTTTTTAGAACAGTGATTCAGACTATATGTATGTCTGTGTGTGTGTATATATATATATATATAATTTTTCAGATTATTTTCCATTTTCAGTTATTATAAGATTGAATATTGTTCTGTGTGCTATATAGTAGGGCATTGTCAGTTATCTATTTTATGTATAGTAGTATATATATGATAATTCCCTCCCCTCAGCCACTGTTTCTTGTGGTAACCATAAGTTTGTTTTCTATGTCTGTTAATCTATTTTCTATTCTGTAAATAAGATCATTTATATAATTTTTTTTTAGATTCCACACGTAAGCGGTATCATATAATATTTTCCTTTCTGTGACTTACTTCACTTAATATGATAATCTCTAAAGCCATTCATGTTACTTCAAAGTCATTATTTTGTTATCTTTTATGGCTAAGAATAATTCATCTGTTGATGAACACTTAGGTTGCTTCCATGTCTTGGCTGTTCTAAATAGTGCTGCTCTGGACATAGGGGTACATTTATCTTTTCGAAATTTTTCAGATTATTTTCCATTTTCAGTTATTATAAGATTGAATATTGTTCTGTGTGCTATATAGTAGGGCATTGTCAGTTATCTATTTTATGTATAGTAGTATATATATGATAATTCCCTCCCCTCAGCCACTGTTTCTTGTGGTAACCATAAGTTTGTTTTCTATGTCTGTTAATCTATTTTCTGTTCTGTAAATAAGATCATTTATATAATTTTTTTTTAGATTCCACATGTAAGTGGTATCATATAATATTTTCCTTTCTGTGACTTACTTCACTTAATATGATAATCTCTAAAGCCATTCATGTTACTTCAAAGTCATTATTTTGTTATCTTTTATGGCTAAGAATAATTCATCTGTTGATGAACACTTAGGTTGCTTCCATGTCTTGGCTGTTCTAAATAGTGCTGCTCTGGACATAGGGGTACATTTATCTTTTCGGATTACATCTATGCCCAGGAGTGAAGCTGCAGGATCATACAGCAACTCTATTTTTAGTTTTGAAAGAACCTCCATAATGTTCTCCATAGTGGCTACACCAGCTTACATTCCCACCAACAGTGTAGGAAGGGTCCTTTTCCATACTTTCTCTAACATTTATTATTTGTAGACTTTTTGATGATAGTCATTCTGACAAGTGTGTTGATACCTCATTGCAGTTCTGATTTGCCTTTCTCTAACAATTAGTTATATTGAACATTTTTCATATGCCTGTCAGCCATCTGTATGTCTTCTTTAGAGAAATGTCTATTTAGATCTTCTGTTTATTTGTTGATTGAGTTTCTTTCTTTTTTTTTTTTATTGAGCTGTGTGAGCTGGTCATATATTTTGGAAATTAACCCCTTGTCAGTTGCATTGTTTACAAATATGTTCTCCTATTATGTGGTTGTCTTTTTGCTTTCTTAATGATTTCCTTTGCTGTGCAAAAGTTCTTAAATTTAGTTCGGTCCCATTTGTCTATTTTTGTTTTTATTTCCATTACTCTATGAGATGGATCAAAAAAGATGTTGCTAGAATTTATGTCAGAAAGTGTTCCACCTGTGTTTTCCTCCAGGTGTTTTTATAGTATTCAGTTTTACATTTAGGTCTTAAATCCATTTTGAGTTCATTTTTGTAGATGGTGTTAGAGAATGTTCTAATTTCATTCCATGTAGCTGCCCAGTTTTCCCATCAACATGTATTGAAGAGACTGTCCTTTCTCCATTGCATATTTTTGCCTCCTGTGTTGTGGATTAATTGACCACAGGTGCATGGGTTTATTTCTGGGCTTTCATTGAACCATGTGCCTGTTTCTGTGCCAGAACCATACTGTTTTCATTACTGTAGCTTTTGTGCCAGTACCATGCTGTTTTGATTACTGTAGCTTTGTAGTATAGTCTGAAGTCAGGCAGGTTGATTCCTCCAGTTCCATTCTTCTTTCTCAAGGTTACTTTGGCTATTCGAGGTTTTTTGTATTTCCATACAAATTGTGAAATTATTTGTTCTAGTTCTGTGAAAAATACCGTTGGTAGTTTGATAGGGATTGCATTGAATCTATAGATTGCTTTGGGTAGTATAGCCATTTTGACAATATTGATTCTTCCAATCCATGAACACGGTATATTTCTCCATCTATTTGTGTTCTCTTTGATTTCTTTCATCAGTGTTTGAAGGTTTATTCTTAGGTATTATATTCTTTTTCATGTGATTAGCTCCCATTCTTTTCTAAGATGCAGAATCACAGAGATTTGGGGCTGTGAGGGACCTTGGATATTATTTACCTAATCAATAACAGAGCCAACCCTAGACAGAATTGCTAACTAGGAAGTATATGACACTTTAGAAATATTTTCACATTCATTTGAAAAAGAAAATTCATTCAAAAATCATTGAAAAGTAAAATAGATCTATGGAAAAAAAGAATATATTTATTAAATCAAAATGTAGCAAAATGTTAACAGTTTTAGTCTAGGGAGTATGTCATAGCTGTTTACCACACGATTCCTTCACCTTTCCTGTATGTCTGATGTTTTTCATAATTAAATGTTAGTGTAAAAAGGAAAATTGAGAGATAAGTGTTTAATGCAGTGAGATGAATGTCAGAAGTCTAGCATTATCAACTTGACTGTACAGAATGTCTGCAAAAGTGGATCATCTTCTTACCACTCAAATAACATTGTATTTTACTAACATGCAGTTTAACTCAACTAGAAGCATTCTGTAGTATCTCAACCAGTACTGCAAAGACAAGAGTATTATGAAGTCAGAAAAGTTTAGAATTCTCAAAAGGATCATTCCAGACCTAGAAATAAGAAAATAAATCCATTGTATCTACAATGTATAACAACAAAGAAAAGTCAGTAATAAAAAAAAAATTAAGAAATGAACATGGAATTTGACCAGACAGTTCTCCAAAGAAGTCAGACAGATGGTTAAGAAAATGAAAAGATTCTCAATATCATTAGCCTTCAGGGAAATGCAAATCAAAACCACAGTGAAATATGACTTTATATACACTAGGATGACTGTAATCCAAAAGACAGATAATCACAGGTATTGGTGAGGATATGAAGAAATTGGAACCCTACTGCTAGTGGGAATGTAAAATGGTATAGGCATTTAGAAAACAATCTATAGTGTTACTGTACAACTCAGCAAGTCTACTCCTGGGTATACACCCCAAGAAAAATGAAATTTATGTCCACACAAACACTTGCACTCAAATGTTCATAGCAGCATTATTTAACAGCCCCAAAGTGGACACAACTCACATCTTCATTGGTAGATGAACTGATAAATAAAATGTGCTATGTGCTGTGCTTAGTCACTCAGTCGTGTCCAACTCTTTGTGACCCCATGGACTGTAGCCCGCCAGGCTCCCCTGTCCATGGGGGTTCTCCAGGCAAGAATACTCGAGTGGGTTGCCATGGCCTCCTCCAAGGAATCTTCCCAACCCAGGGATCGAACCCAGGTCTCCTGCATTGCAGGCAGATTCTTTACCAGCTGAGCCACAAGGGAATCCCCCAAAATGTGCTATACCCATTTGAAAAAAATATATTCAGCAATTAAAAGGAATGAAGTACTGATGCATGCTCCAGTGGATGAACCTTAAAAACATTATGCAAAGTGAAAGGAGCAGTCATGAAGATCACATATCAATTGATTCTGATTATGTGAAATGTCCAGAATAGATAAATGCATAGAGATAGAAAGTAGATTAAGGTTGGGAGGATGATGCTGGGGTAGGCAAGGGAGTGAGTTCTAGGGTGGGGCAGGGGCTGGGTGTTGTATTAATGAAAATGTTACAACATTGATTGTGCTGGTAGTTGAAAAAAAAATCTGTTAATATTCCAAAAAACCACTGAGTTGTACACTTTATAAGCAGACAAATTGTATGGTGTGGAAATTACATCTCAGTAAGGCTGTTATATGAAAAAGAAAAGAAACAAGGGTACATAAACAGAAAACAAACAGGGGTATAACTGAATTTGCTCAAAGTAAAGTGATCAGGATAGAGTTGATCAGGAACTGAGCCTCTCCTGCTCTGTCCCTTGGTCCACCCTCTCCAGACACCCAATGCTCAACTAATTCTGCCTTCTTTCCTTCCTTCCTTTCTTCCCCATTTTTCTTTCTTTTCCCTTTTCCTTCCTTCTTTTGTCTTTTCTTTTTTTCCTGCCCATTCCCTTCCCCCTTTCCTTATTCTTCTCTTGTTTCTTGTTTATATATTTTTTAGTTAAAGTACATTCAGTGATCCCGTATCATAGCTGCAGAACCAATTGTAGTGAGAAACTGGATTGTTGAAAACCTTTTATAAGAGAACATGCCTGTGGCTCTTGGGAGGGAAGTAGAGGATTCAGTGTCTCCCACTCACACTTAATAGCAAATCCTGGTTGTGAAACTCACTAGGCTAGTAACAGTACCCTGGGACTGAGCCTCCGGGAACAGCGGCCTAAAGAGATCCACAACCACTGCTTGTCTTAGTCCACCCAACAGACTTCATTTGCTTCGTCCCTCAGGCTCTGAGTTCCACTCTGATTATCCTGTTGCGTTTTCTCCCACTTTGAACTTTTCAGCTCTCCTTAAGGCGACAGCAAGTAAGTGAGAGATTGAATGAGTGGGCCGTCTTCAGTGAAAAGAACAAGGAGCTTTGCGAATGGCTGACTCAGATGGAAAGCAAGGTTTCTCAGAATGGAGACATTCTCATTGAAGAAATGATTGAGAAGCTCAGGAAGGTAACAGATGTGTGGCTACATGTGTTTCACTCTTTGTAGTGTTTAGGCATTGGTACGGAAGATGACCTTACTCCTAGTTATTTTCCTGACAAAGGAGCACTCTTACAAACACTTCATCTTTTTAATATGAAATCAATGTGCCTGGAAAGGCCTCCTTGACATATAAATCATATGGAATATTTTCAATTTGTGATGAAATAGATTGTCTGCTGATAGATAACATTCAGTTTTTTTGGATTTTATCTGCCTGTTCAGTAGGAATTATTTATGTGTGTCAGTTTTCTTTGTTTTTAATCAGAGTATAATTGATTTATTGTTTGCTTTTAAAGAGGTAAAAATCACTAGAGAGGAACTAAAAGAAAAAATTCCTAGGATCCATTAAGCTGACATTTTCTCTATAAAACATGATTTATAGACAGTTACAGGAATGAGGACTCTTCTGGGAATTTTAGCTTCATATTAATTTCAAGTTATATATGATGATGAAAGTATTTTTTTATGTTCAAATGGATCCAAAATGTTTTTCATGTCTGTATAGGATTGGTCAGTTTTAATAGCATTTTAAAGTGGTTTTTTTGGTTCCAGTGATGTTTCCACACTGCATTTGAACAATTAATCATTTAAATTTTATATTTCTCTTAAGCACATATTGCCATCTGAAATACAGTGCATGTTCCTGATTTGTTTGTTATCTGTCTACACTGGAAGCCCCACTGGACTGTAAGCTTTATGGGAACAGGAACTTCGTCAGTTTTGTTCACTGCTGTAGCTCCTGAGTTCTCAGAAGTACTCAACCATTATTTATTGAATAAATAAGCAATAGCTTCACTCATTCTGAAAAGAAATATAAATAAGTATTAGGAAAAATTATCTTTGTCTATGAAGTTATTTATATTATATGTTGGCTTTGGGAATTGTATTTTTTTTTTCCTCTATGGGTGTGCACAGGCACATACACAGAAAAACAAAAACTTTGAAGCCAAGATGTGATATTAATAACTTTATAGGTTTACACTTAAAAGTGCAAGTTCTAAGCATCAGCGTTTCTGTTGGGTCCGAATAACCCAATAGAACATCTTATGGAAAACCCAGATGAACTTTTTGATTAACCCAATGTATTTAATATTGTAAAGCTTTAAAATGTGGACTGAAACAATACATATTTCATTTAAACATCTGTAACAGTTCTGCCCTTTGCTGGTTTATGGGTGTCAGAGACTGTTCTCTTAGACATGATTAATGTAATAGGTTTTATAGTAAAATTTGCTATAGAATAAATTTTGACCAAGTGTATTTATACTCCAATTGATTTTATCATGAAATTTAAGATCCATGTTTTGGGGGTGTGGAAAAAACTGTCTCTTGAGCAAAATGCAATCATAATTTAAAATTTAGAAAACTGTACCTTGACACACAGATAATTTTGTTATATTGTTTAGTAACATTTAAAATATCAACTATACCATTTTGTATATATATAAAATAAGTTATGGACTCTAAAAAAATGTTCATGAGCTTGCACCATGTGGTGTCTCTTTTGTAGAGAAAAAGAATAATCTTGGTAATTTTTTCAACTTAGGATAAAGAAATTAATAAACAGACTGTAACTATGATATGGGTACTTCCTGGCATTGACACTCAGCATTTTGCTTTAAAAGACAACCTAGGCAGATTATTTTACTATAAATACTGTTCTAGGGTTGGAGTAATTCCATTGACATTGAACATTTCTCAGTAAAATGATCTCAAATTTGTAATGCCATATTGTAACTATTAATAAGCATTCATTTCATTGGTCTTTCACTCCCATGGGGTTGAAGTAACATAGAAGGGTGAGTGGGTGAGGTACTGAGCCTGAGGACAGCATTCAACCCTGAATAGAATGAAATTTCACTGGCTCCTCCCATTCTTTGGGGGCCCTTTTTACTGACTTGAAAAGGTAGCACTGTTCCCAAGGGAATTTTAGAGCCATAGAAGGTTAAAATACCCATATCCTTATAATACTTGTGTTTGTATATTATTTTGCTGAGAAAATATTTGCTGCCTGCCTAACAAAAGCTTAAGCCAAAAATGAAAAAGTTGATTCTAAATTTTGGATGCTGTCACTATGGCAGGGAAGTAAGAGGACCATTGGTCCAGAGGCAGGGTGGAGGGAAGAGGGGGACAGATAGGGGTCAAGAGGAGATGGCCTTTATCATCCCTTAAATCATACTGTTCAGTGGTCTATCTCAGTGACCTTACTACAGACCGTATTGAGAGCCTGTCCTGCTTACCTAAAACAGTCTTTAGGAGGAGCTCCTATAGAAACTCAGTAAATGAGGGAGATTTGAGGCCCATTGATCCTCTAAGACTAAAGGTCATTATTCTTGAGACTTATGTCAATGATTTATGGTGTTGTAAAATCAGTATTTTACACTGTATAAAAGATAGCTCCTTAAAATGAAAGTAATCTTTTAAAACATTCTGTGCAAGTAACAATTGAAATTCTCACACACACGCACACAAACATATATATTTAGATATACATACATGCAGACACATCTTATAAGCCTCTTGGCAGTTATGTGTAGGAGGATTGAGTCTAAATATAACATGTGGTTGGTGATTACAGCAATAAGGTATAACTTCCCAGCATTGAAATTCTTCAACTTTTGTCTTTTGTTTCTATGTATATACTTACATTGTTTTTTTTAATTTTAAAGCCCAATTTAAAGAAAAAAAAAACCCCCCCCCCCCCATTCCCTTTAAGAACATCTGTATAAAAATTGAATCTGGACTTTGCCTACGTACTGAAAATCTGGACTTTGCCTAAATACTGAAAATAGCAGGTACCATTAATTCCTGTTTACTAGGACTCATATTCACATAGTGTTCCCTATGCTCAAACTATTTCCAAGCTGTAGAAAACTGTAATTACCCTGTTTCTAGTAGAGCGAAGCTGAATGCATCAAGAATATGCTTTCTGACCTCTGTGATTGCTATTTATTACACAGGATTATCAAGAGGAAATTGCAATTGCCCAAGAGAACAAAATACAGCTCCAGCAAATGGGAGAACGACTGGCTCAAGCCAGTCATGAAAGCAAAGCATCTGAGATTGAGTACAAGCTTGGCAAGATCAATGACCGGTGGCAGCACCTTCTGGACCTCATGGCAGCCAGGTAAAAAGGACCCCCATCAGCAGGACACATGTGCAGAATCTCAGCACATTCAGGCCACCTTCCATTTCAGCTGCAAGTCGTCCAATAAATCTCTGCGTTCCTCATCCCACCACTTTAGTTCATGCTTGTCTCATAAGTGTCATTTTCATTAACTTTAAAATTCTGTGCTTCACAGATTCAGTGGTGTTTTCATTTAACTAAAAGAGAGAAAGTCATATCCAAACAAAATCCGTTCCCGAGGGAAAAGTCTTTATTCTGAGGCTTCATAGTACTCAACTTCCTATAAGAAAGAGAGTGAAACTGCTGACAAGCATCTGTGAAGGGTGTGTTTGTCTGAAGTGGCAAAAAATATATATACATATATATATTATATTGTATTATGTTATACATACAAAGTGTATTTATATATTATATATATTTATAAAATATATAAAATCATATTCCTACTGTATTTTTTATTAGTAAGATATCAGAATGAAGCTAATTATTGTCACTTTGCTTTGATGTAAAAATAACCTGCTGGATTACTGTATTTTGTACTTAGCTTTAGTGGTATCTGTAAGTGTCTGCTTCGTGCCTGAGAGGAATATTACATCAATTTCTGTTGCGGAAATGTTACTGAAGGGGTGAGGTGGGGTACAGCTGCTCATTGCTCAAAAGCCAATAAACAGGCCAGATCGGTGGAAAGGAAAGTTTGTTTTATTTCAGATGCCACCAACTTGGGGAGGTGGGGTGGACATCTGTCCAAAGGTTGACTCCCCCCACCGCCCTCCCACCAACACACATGGCAACCAGTGGGGCAAGAGCTTTTATAGCCAGAAGGAGGAGACTCCATGCAGAAACAGCACTGCCGGCTCTGACAGTCATCTTCAGATTGCTCATCAGTGATCTGACCAGTGTCATTTTCATTGTTTTAGGTACAGTTAGTCTTCAGTTCCAAGGTCCATTTGTTCCCATTTCTTTGTGGCCAGTTCTCAGAATTGTGACAGCTCGTGTTCTTGATACAGTCTGGTCATCGTGTAGTTAACTTTTCCACCTGTGTTTTGGAATCTACAAGGCAGCTCACAGGCTATGGCTCAGAATGTTATCCACAGCCCCTGAGAAAGGACTAAAGGTCCTTGACTACGCTTCATGACTACATTATTATTATTAGTCTCCTCTGACTGTTTTCCTTTGATTCTATGTTTCTTACTTCTCTGATTAAACTTATTCTTTGACTAAGGTTTTCCAAAGACGAAAGGCAGGCAGAGGACACAGTTCGGGGGTGGGGGCTGGAAAGACCATAGGGTTCTGCTCCATTTCAGAAGGCAGAGTGAGAGAAATATAAAAGTCAAAAAGAAAAAAATATCTGAGGAACTTTACTAGCAATATAAAAGCCTGATATGCTTGAATGAACCATTATGCTATTTGACATAAGGGTTATTTTTAAAGGGAAAGGCTGGATAGATGCTTTATTTGAAGTGAGCTTTGCTTCGTGTTGGACTGTAGCCTCCATGAGGGCAGGCGTCTTTGTCCATTTTGTTCATTTTATATCACTAGTACCTGTGCCTGAACACAGTTTGGACTCAGTAAATATTTGCATGAATGTATGAATGAATATTTGAATAGACAGTCTTCTTTATCACAGTTAGGAGAGTTAGGATGTCACAAATGCTTCTGATTCACAGTTGTTTTGGAGCCATCCCACAATACACTTTATAAAAAATCTGGATTATTTTCCCTAGCCATGAAGGTAGATGTGAAATAGTGCCTTTTGAATACTGTGTGCCCGTAAAAACTGCATGTGGGCATGACAATTCCATGTGTTGATTTTGAAAACATTTAGTATGGGCTTTTTTCTATAAGGGAGTTATCAAACAGGGTCTAATTTATGAAGCAGATGAGCTATAATTTCAGTAAGAATATGATAAAAAGGGAACAAGTGATAACCAGGTTTTAAAATGTTAGACAGTAGGACTGTAATAGCTAACACTTGCTGAACCTTTAGCTTGCACCAGTGACCATGCTACAGGCTTCATGTGCATCTTCCTGTGTGTTTACAACATCCTTTGAGATGGGTATTATTGTTATACCCATTTTCCAGATATGGAATGCTGAGGTTCAGGCTTGCTCCTGGTCGTGCACATACTGAGTGGCAGAGTCTGCATTCTTTGACTCTACAGCTCATGCCCTGAACAATTCTGCCTGCCAAGTTTGTGACTTCTTTGTCCCTGTTCTAGATAATGCAATTAAAAGGAAATTAGGTTGTTACTTATTTCTATAGTCTTTCCTGGTGCCTTAGTGAGAAAGAACCCACCTGCCAAGGCAGGAGATGTGAGTTTGATCCCTGGGTCAGGAAGATCCCCTGAAGAAGAAATGGCAACCCACTCCAGTATTCTTGCCTGGGACATCCCATGGACAGAGGAGCCTGGCAGGCTACAGTCCACAGGGTCTCAAGAGTCAGACTGATGTAGTGGCTGAACAATGACAACAGCAATTATTTCTATAACCGAACTTCCCAGTTCTATTTGTAAAGGACTGATAGTGACTGTGAAAAATTTCGGGGATACAAAGACAGAGGCCCCTTTTTTCAAGTGGGCATATAGACATGCAAAGAAATCAAGTAAAATGACTCACTAAATGCCCTGATAAAGTATATAAAGAGATGGAAACTTAATGGTTCAGCTTAAACTACTTGAAGTATTTAGGCATATGTAGGTTTTAGAACCTTAATACCATGTTTAGCCTCACTTCTCAGGCACTGATAACCAAACCTTATTTCAGAGGGAGGACCTGAAGCCTTTGTGCTAAAAAATACCCTTCTTTGGGAAGCCGCCCACTTGGTAAACATCCCTGGATTTTTTTCGGTCAGATTATGACTCACAGATTGGTTTGCATTGCCATGTAATCCAGTTAAAGTAGTTAATATTCTTTTCCAATTTTTAGTGCTTCAATGCTGTGAAATATGGGGTTGCATGAAATCAAAATTTTTTTTAATTTAATATATTGAATCACAAGCAATTATTTAGCATATGCCCAGCTATTAGCCAACATTATATAAAATGAACTAGGTGTTTACTCCTCAAAGTCATGCTTATTTATAACTTTTCTGTCTAGTTTTTGTTTGTTCATTTGTGTTTTGGGGGGTATATTTGGCCACATGACATGACCTGTGGGATCTTAGTTCCCCTACCAGGAATTGACCCTTCACCCCTGCATTAGAAGGGAAGAGTCTTAACCACTGGACCACTTAGGAACTCCTCTGTATAGTTTATTCAGTCAATAATTTTTTAGATATTACTTAGTTTATTCTTCCAAAGACATTAGTAAATTTGAATCAATTAAATACAGGGTATACAGGCTTCCTAGGTGGCCTGGTAAAGTATCCACCTGTGATGCAGGAGACTCAAGAGACATGGGTTCGATCCCTGGGTTGGAAAGATCCCCTAGGGTAGGAAATGGCAACCTACTTCAGTAATCTTGCCTGGAGAACCTCATGGACAGAGGAGCCTGGTGGGCTACAGTCCATGGGGTCGCTAAGAGTCAGACATGACTAAGTGACTGAGCAGAGAACACACACACAGTCTGGCATTTTACACTAAAATGCTCATGTTTCTAGTTTTGTAGTTTCATTGTACACAGATGTATACATATTGTCCATTTCTAATGGTCTCTTTCCAACATGGACGGTATGACATACCGACTGTTGGTTTGTCCTGAGGTTTAATGCCACGCTGAATTCATAGTTCTTGGAGTGTCTCCTAAATGGCTCTCAGCCATCACATTTGCTTTCTTTCCATTGTTTGGTTTATTGGCATTTTGCTAATGCACAGGCTAGCCGCCCATCTCCCACACCCATCTTCAACTGTGACCTGCCAGTTGAAATACTGAGTTTCTATGATTCAGTCTCATTCGGTCCGCCTCCCTCTTCCAAAAAATTTTTTTAACATTGATTCATTAAAGCAGAACATAATTTGTCTTTTGATATTTTTATGTTGTTTTGGTGCTTTGGGGGGAGTAGAGAAGTTGTTACTGAAGATGATCATATTTTCAGGTGAACATCTTTGTGGCTAACTGGAAATGGGGGGAAAAAAGAAAGAAGATTCACAGATAATAACCTGTTATGTACGAACAGAATGCATAACTTTGAGTCAGCTTCCTATTACTAGTTGATTAGCTAGCTTAGACCATTCTAAGTGCACAGTAGATGTGTTTTGCATTGAATTTTTAAACTGTCACCAAGCATTGTCAGCTTTTTAAGATAACAAAAAAATTTGCAGTTATTTTTAGGGCTCAATGGATAATGTTCCAGTATACTTTCTAGTCCTACTTAGTCCAATGTAACAGAGACTGGTTTACATGCTATATAATGGCTATTTAAATGAGCTGAAATGGAATATGACTCATCTAATTGAATATAATTGAATATAATTCAATTAGAATTTAATTTTAATTATGGTCAGTTGCACAAGGCACATTTCCAGTGCTCAGAAACCACACAAGGATAGCGGCTACCTTATTGGATGCTGCAGACACAGGACATTTTGGTCATCCCAGAAAACTCTGTTGGTCAGTGCTAGCCTAGACAAAAGCATTTCTGAGCTTTCACCCTTAATTAAGAGTCAACATAATTAACAGTCGTCAGTGTAACTGATAATTTCTGTAATACTGTCTTCAAGGATTCTAGCTCTCATTTCTGAACCCTGTGCAAAAACCCAATGGTAGTTTCCCAGAGCCTGGACTGACAGAAAATGTCCTGTAGCCTTAGTTGTTCAGAGCTTTTAATAAATAGAGACTGCTTTGTTCAACGTTTCCCATCTTGGTATCTAGGAAGGTCAGATTCAAGTTGTTTACTCTTGTGATGACTTTTCTTGTTTTAGTTAACTGGACTCTCTAATAGAGGCTATTCTTCTTTCCTCACCAAACCTAAAATAGTCATTACCAAAATGAAGCACACATTAGTTATGTGTTACTTTAATAATGAAATTATTAGTCCCCCGACTCTTTGAGATCCCATGGACAGTTGCCCTCCAGGCTCCTCTGTCCATGGGATTTCC